GAACGAGAATCGATCTTCTACAGTTTTTGTGTTGTATGTTTCGATAAGTCACTGCACGAGCTATTTGTCCTTCAGTCACGAGAGGATCGTCCTTCAGTCCGTGTAACAATTGTCTTAGAGACATAAAACAATACGTATCTTACCAGAGAAAAGGGATTGTTCTTGTGGAATATTAATTGTTGTTTTAATTTGATCAATAGATGTAGCACATTGACATAACATATATAGCGTATTCGATTTACTGTCCGCTTTTACTTCAATTTTCAAAAATAAGGATAATTATGACGTAATGGAAATGTCAATTAATGGTTTTGCTTAAAATCACATGTCACATAAACAACAGCGTGTTTGATTTATAATTCTCCTGTTGACAACTCCAACCGTTTTATCCAGTAAATGGAATGGTCCATTAATTTCCTCGTGGGAGAAGAGGAGTTCAGCGCACTAACATTTTAAACAATACTCAATGATCATATTCTTACAGTAGAATTTTATCGTTGTACCTGTTCGCAGGAAAGTAGATGTTTTTTTTAATTAGTAAAAAAAACTTCGTGTAAATAACGCGAATTCTGTTATAATGATGATATATTTATTCAATCATGGTGCCTTACACGTAGTGGCACAATTCAAAAATTACCGGTATTGATGACGTCATTGTGAATTTTTACATATACGATGGTGGGTCGCACCTCCCCATCTAGTTTCTTGGCATTTCGGACAACTTTTGATTTGCCCAGTCTCCCATAGGCTTCAAAATTTAGGCCCTAACATTACCGACGAGTCATAGAAGGACGAAATAGACGTATGATAAGTTTACTTTTTCAATTGGCTCCACTGTAAATAAGTTCGTTTTAAAATATGTTATTCGCTATTTAACTCATTTATTACATACATGAAAGGTATATTCAGATAAATGTTACATACCCGACACATATTGAAAATACATGTATGCTTTGTATGTCACTTAGAAAGTTAGACAATATAAACCTGCTGCAGTCACAATACAAACATTTCTAATTAATTCATTCCATTTAGTATAATAAGACATGATTACTTTTAGCAGTGGGTAGATAGGACCTTGTATCACATAAAAACTGAAATGTTGCCGAGCGATTTTTTTTTCAGAAGAACGGGTTATCTGATATTATGGACAATTCAATAGTTTGTTTAAAACCAGTTTGGAAGACAAGTGATTAAATATGAGAAAAAAACATAGCTGGACCAATATTATACAGAAAGTCATTATCGGAACACCAATCTGTTTCCAGGCTGAGGACAAGGAGATATTGTTCCGATAGTCAAATTATCAGTAGCAAAGTTCAACTAAATCTAAGCCCTTAGCAACACTGACGAGTCATATAAGGACGAAACAGCTATATGATGTAGTATCACTGACGAGTCCTTGTAGGACGAAACAGCTGTATGATATAGCATTACTGGCTGGTTAAACAATGATGGAATAGCTGTATGATGTTGCATCAATGACTGGCCTTTGAAGGACGAAACATCTGTATGAGGTAGCATCACTGACGAGTTATAGAAGGACGAAACAGCTGTATAATATAGCATCAATGACTAGTCATTGAAGGACGAAACAGCTGTATAATGTAGCATCACTGACGGATTATATAAGGACGAAACAGCTTTATGATGAAGCATCACTAACGAGTTATAGACGGACGAAACAGCTGTATGATGAAGTTAAGTCAATGTTTAGTTCCTCTGTACCTTATTCCCCTGAATTTGTATGAAAAGGAGCTGCCGTCTGTACGACTGTTTTATCTTTTTTTCAATAAAATTGGTTTCAGTAAAACCGTTAATTAGTCACGATGAAATTACCTCCGTTTTAGTATCGCGCATGTTACAAATATAGTTGGACAGTAGCGACCAAGGAAAAATATTTATAAAATTCGTTGAATTTACGATTTGCATATTAAAAAATAGTCTTGTAATGTCAGAACTGTCAGTGTTTGCTCTGATTTGTAGACTAATCAGTAGATAATCCTATTGACATGGATTCTTTGGTTCAAGTGTACTTCAATCTACATTAACACATTAACGTAGAACCAATACACTTGAAAACTTGATCAGTGGTATGTAAGCCGTGGTACCTTATGAGGGTTATCTTTCTTGTCACTCTTACAACTCCCGTTCCGGGCAGGTTACATCGAACACTAGTTGAATTTTTTTTAAATCCTGTTGTCAAGATGGGACATTTTACAAAGTATCCGATTTTCACGGAGATATTCACATCTTATTGTATACAAAGTCAGAAATGACACTACCACTTTGCCGAATTGAAAATTGGCCGAGTTTAAATTCCCTTATTGATGACAGGTGATATTGATATAAGGCTTTTCTGTGAGACAGCTTCATGCCAGCGATGTATAAATCACAAACAGAGGTACAATTTATGGCTAGTTGTCCACTTCATATCAAATTTATGAAATGAGTTTGGAAGTGTTTCACTTTAGAGAACCTTTTGGGAGCTAAAATGAAAAGTTCCGGATGGCCTTGTCAGCAACAATGACTTGTAATCAATGGGTGATATGTTTCATCTGAATCAATATAAGGGCGTTCTGAAATCAGCATCGTTCATGGGCAAATGTGGGTTTGACAATGATTGAAAGATTTGTCTTTGCTCAGCTGTCTTTATAGGAAATTTATATCATACAACACCAACAAGAATATCATACTGTATATTCACTTATATTTCGCGTGAAATTTATTTTCGTGTTAATACGCGAGGAGCGTCAGTTGCGAATTCAAATCCTTCGCGACTATTCGTGCGAAAATTATTCTGTATGACATCCATGTTGGTTTTGTTACGAATATCGGAGTCTTGAAGAATGTATGTCTTTAATAGGTCATCATTCGCGAATAAAATTCATTTTTAGATCGCCGTTCGCGAAACCAAGCATTCGCGAATATGTTTGAAGAGGTAAGTTCGCGAAATCAAAGTGATTTACAGTAACCATTGTGTTGTAGAAAGTCAACACTAGAGGGGACTTATACATAGAAATAGATATTTGTATTTAGTCGCGTTCTCAACCATTGAAATGATCCATAACACTATCATTTTATCTCATTTGTAGCGCGCAATTTCACTTGATTAAATCTTTGATGATTTTCCTATAAACTGAAATTTGGAGCGTCAGATTAAATGTTGTTCATACAAAAGTAATTAGTTTCACCGTCGTCTCCAAACGTAAACAAGGAAGATGGCGATCTTAACTGGCAGACAAACAAGTCACTGAACTTAAAGCCAAAGCCCCTCATAAAGGATTGACGCGATTTTACCGTTGAGTAGTAGCCAATGAAATGAATAAGACGTGACTTCCTCTTCAACTGTCTTATACATAACCAGAACCAACAAAGGCTAACTCGTCGTTCGAAAACATTTTAACTTTCAATACTGTATGTTTAAAGTATTTCTCCTATCACACTAAACAAGCAAAACTTCTAACTTTGTAAACTTTTGTTCCAAACTCATTTCGTTAGTGTCCTTATTAACGGTGGACGTTACTGTATCTGTAGTGTCCTTATTAGCTGTGGGCATTACTGTATCTGTAGTGTCCTTATTAGCTGTGGGCATTACTGTATCTGTAGTGTCCTTATTAGCTGTGGGCATTACTGTATCTGTAGTGTCCTTATTAGCTGTGGGCATTACTGTATCTGTAGTGTCCTTATTAGCTGTGGGCATTACTGTATCTGTAGTGTCCTTATTAGCTGTGGGCATTACTGTATCTGTAGTGTCCTTATTAGCTGTGGGCATTACTGTATCTGTAGTGTCCCTATTAGCTGTGGACATTTCTGTATCTGTAGTGTCCCTATTAGCTGTGGACATTTCTGTATCTGTAGTGTCCCTATTAGCTGTGGACATTTCTGTATCTGTAGTGTCCCTATTAGCTGTGGACATTTCTGTATCTGTAGTGTCCCTATTAGCTGTGGACATTTCTGTATCTGTAGTGTTTTTATTAGCTGTGGACATTTCTGTATCTGTAGTGTTTTTATTAGCTGTGGACATTACTGTATCTGTAGTGTCCTTATTAGCTGTGGACATTACTGTATCTGTAGTGTCCTTATTAGCTGTGGACATTTCTGTATCTGTAGTGTCCTTATTAGCTGTGGACATTTCTGTATCTGTAGTGTCCCTATTAGCTGTGGACATTTCTGTATCTGTAGTGTCCCTATTAGCTGTGGACATTTCTGTATCTGTAGTGTCCCTATTAGCTGTGGACATTTCTGTATCTGTAGTGTCCCTATTAGCTGTGGACATTTCTGTATCTGTAGTGTCCCTATTAGCTGTGGACATTTCTGTATCTGTAGTGTCCCTATTAGCTGTGGACATTTCTGTATCTGTAGTGTCCCTATTAGCTGTGGACATTTCTGTATCTGTAGTGTCCCTATTAGCTGTGGACATTTCTGTATCTGTAGTGTCCCTATTAGCTATGGACATTTCTGTATCTGTAGTGTCTCATTAGCTGTTGACGTTTCTGTATCTGTAGTGTCCTTATTAGCTGTGGACGTTTCTGTTTTGCAGTGTCCTTATTAGCTGTGGACATTTCTGTATCTGTAGTGTCCCTATTAGCTGTGGACATTTCTGTATCTGTAGTGTCCCTATTAGCTGTGGACGTTTCTGTATCTATAGTGTCCCTATTAGCTGTGGACATTTCTGTATCTGTAGTGTCCCTATTAGCTGTGGACATTTCTGTATCTGTAGTGTCCCTATTAGCTGTGGACATTTCTGTATCTGTAGTGTCCTTATTAGCTGTGGACATTTCTGTATCTGTAGTGTCCCTATTAGCTGTGGACATTTCTGTATCTGTAGTGTCCCTATTAGCTGTGGACATTTCTGTATCTATAGTGTCCCTATTAGCTGTGGACATTTCTGTATCTGTAGTGTCCCTATTAGCTGTGGACATTTCTGTATCTGTAGTGTCCCTATTAGCTGTGGACATTTCTGTATCTGTAGTTTCCCTATTAGCTGTGGACGTTCCTTAATTGGCAGTGTCCCTATTAGCTGTGGACATTTCTGTATCTGTAGTGTCCTTATTAGCTGTGGACATTACTGTATCTGTAGTGTCCTTATTAGCTGTGGACATTTCTGTATCTGTAGTGTCCTTATTAGCTGTGGACATTTCTGTATCTGTAGTTTCCTTATTAGCTGTGGACATTTCTGTATCTGTAGTGTCCTTATTAGCTGTGGACATTTCTGTATCTGTAGTGTCCTTATTAGCTGTGGACATTTCTGTATCTGTAGTGTCCTTATTAGCTGTGGACATTTCTGTATCTGTAGTGTCCTTATTAGCTGTGGACATTTCTGTATCTGTAGTGTCCTTATTAGCTGTGGACATTTCTGTATCTGTAGTTTCCTTATTAGCTGTGGACATTTCTGTATCTGTAGTGTCCTTATTAGCTGTGGACATTTCTGTATCTGTAGTGTCCTTATTAGCTTAGGACATTTCTGTATCTGTAGTGTCCTTATTAGCTGTGGACATTACTGTATCTGTAGTGTCCTTATTAGCTGTGGACATTTCTGTATCTGTAGTTTCCTTATTAGCTGTGGACATTTCTGTATCTGTAGTGTCCTTATTAGCTGTGGACATTTCTGTATCTGTAGTTTCCTTATTAGCTGTGGACATTTCTGTATCTGTAGTGTCCCTATTAGCTGTGGACATTTCTGTATCTGTAGTGTCCCTATTAGCTGTGGACGTTTCTGTATCTGTAGTTGCCTGACTCTATATGGAATTATTTGACTTCTCCTAACCTTGAGACTCATTATACCTGCTTTGTGTGGTATTCTTAAGATCCTCTTTCTTTTGCGAAGTCCCAACTAGAAAAGCCATTGTGTCCTCTCCGTAATGGCAGCGCCAGACCAACATTCACAAAAGACCACCAATATTATGGTATTAAATTGTCACGTTCTTGATGTGTACCAAACGGATTCATAGGATACAGAATAAATTTACATCTAACTTTCAGTTGTTTCGGGTATATCATTTTTCTGTATCTTTTAGGGTAGAACAGTCGAATATTTGAATGCCTTCTTCATACTGGCGTCAGTGACTTCCGTATCGTTTACATATCAATAAGTAGTCAGTGGTGCGATATAATAACTGACTGCTGTCTATCTGTTTAGTTACATTTACCATTCCGTTGTGTCACATTGTCGGGACAATGTATGCCATGCAGATCAAGCTTTTTATAAACCTGCAGATGAAACACGAACATACATGCTAGGGGACAATACATGACTTCTAATACACCGTCTCCCAGTACGTTAAATAACTAGTTCCGCACGTGCACCTTGTTTACATGAATTCGCTTGGTGCATTCTATCAACAAATTGCTGTAGTATCCTTCCTGGTAATATAACGTATGATAATTGAATATTGGGCAAAGTGCATAACCATCATTATTTTACACATGCAATTCTAAGATTAATAGTACATTTGTGTGATCAACGGGCGAACAGAACCGTCACAAGAATACAACATGTCCATCAACATTCAATGAGAAAGTCTGTGTTTCATATCATTACATCACTTGGTGCCAATGTAATCAACTACATGGCAGGACGGCCGTTGAGAAGTGATGTATTTCAATTACTGAAATAGATTTCCCCGATTGTTTGACCTTGTCATATCAACAAAAACATGTCACATATTTGGTGAATTCGTCACTCGCTGCTCTCAATAAACATCGACAACTCAGCTATTCGCACCTAGCAGCTTCGTAAGATATAAATTGCAATATTCTGAGACCCAGAGGGAGGTCCGGTTTCTCCACTGGACAATATGATGGTTAGACGTTAATTATTTTGTTCGTTAGAGGCGATTTCAACGATCGATCATAAACATTTCGTTTCTAAATGGAGAAAGTGACGCTGGAGTTTTGGATACTATTTTCAAGTGCTGTATGGATTAGGGGCAGATGTTGGTGCCAGATTCCCGGCTACCCACTTAGTGATTATTGATCTAACCTTCACATAACTTGCCTATATGTAACCTGATGCAAAACTTCAACAGTGTATTCTCCTTTAAGTTTTAAGGTAAGCTTCTACTTTGCAATAACATATACAAGTAGATATTTCTTTTCAAACACTAACTTTTGTATGATTTTTCTCAAAGTTTGAGGGAGTCCCACAGCATGAGTCCAATACAGCAATATGATTGAATCCACAAAAAATTACTGCCAAGCCATTCATACTTTGAAACTTTTATTCATGAAAAATGGATCTGTGCTAGTGTGTTTGTTAAGGTTATAATACACTGGAGTTTTATTAACACGTACAACATTACAGTGTTAGCCTGGTTATCTATGGCAGCCACGAAAGCATTGCTATCAGGAATCAGTATATAACGGATGAATAACGCTAAAGGCTTGATAAAAAGTGGGCTTATCTGCGAATATTCAACATAAACAGAACTTCCTTACTCCAGAAAGCAACAGCAAGGGACCCCTGTCATCATAGAATTTGGCTTCCCGGTAATATTTTTCCTGTTTCATCTTATTAATTGTTTGGTCCCTTTGATCTCCAACATTCTACTCCCCCTTTTTTTACTAAAGCGGAATATTTTTATCAATATATAAATGGCTTCTGCACATTAAATCCATTTCTCTTTGGCAATTGAAACTCAAATTTCCTACAGTATCAGGTTCATCCGCACCTCCCTTCCTAAACTTCATAAAAATCCATATAAACACAGTTTTATTGCTGGTTCATCTAATTTTACAGCCAAACCTTTATACAAGCTTCTTGCAACCAACCTTCGTATTCTCAAATTAGTGTTACAATCCCATTGTGATAATGTTTCCTCGAGAAGTGAAATTAATGTATGTGAATTTCCGTGAACACCAAAGAAATTTTAACAATCCTGTCCTGAAAAACAATTCTTCGTTGAGGAAAAGTTAATTAGTAATCCTGTACACTACATCACACCCCATACAACCTGAAGGAATGCCTTCTTCCTCAGATTAGGAGGAGCTTTCTATATAAAGAAAGAACGTGAAAGGCATTACTAAAACAATTATATGGTTCTGTGCTATACATGAGCATATATTGGGAGAAAGTACGTGCAAAACTAAGAAAATATTTATTGAGGACAAAGTCATAAAAAGGACAAAATATCGTTATACCTTTGCTGACTTGTTTTTGTTTTCATAAGAGACTAAATTTATCGAAGACCTATCAAAACAGGTCACAAAGACCTTGTGACTTCTTTCAATTTTTCTTTACGATACATTGATATGTTCTGTCTTCAGAAAGCAAAAAAATATTGACTGAGTCCATCGTGTTTTCCCACCAGAACTGGAAATCTAGGACATGACACACTCTTTATCAGCAGTTGACCTCGATATTTCCTACAATGAAACTCACAGTGACAGCTTTTTACACAGCTGTATAGTAGGTATAATAATTCAGTTTTCCCGAGTGTGAATCCTTCATTTCTAGATAGCAACAATGCTGCGTCCCCAACGAGGGCGTTTCCTAATCACATCTGATTCAATATTACGGGGATGTTCGTTAGTTTGGTAGTTAGTTTCCTTGTTATATTGACCTCATTTGTGATCGCCGCATTACTTTCTTTGATTGACCAATATTTATAAAACAGATATTGTTGATGCAGATGACGCTTACCTTTGCGGAACACTTGGTCTTATAAGGTTCGTGTGAATCTATACTTTTCATAATATGTTTTGTTAACGCGATTAGAAGTTTAAATTTAACATTCTGTTTAAAGGTTGGTATTATCTTCTTTCTTGGCGTCTTCCATCATTTCACTAAAACAATTTAAGTTGTGAAATCTATGGTTATGATTATCTGCTCCAATTTTTGACATTTATATTGTGTATATATATTGTAGGCCATCATACGTTTGCTACAATTATTCATCTGGTATGTGGAATGTGTCAATCATTCAGTGTGTTGTCATTTAAAGGATACATCTCGGTCCAGTGCTAATAATAACTAAAGTTCTTTAAAAAATAAAGTAGAATGGCGTTTTGTAGGCCGCACCCTCATTAAAAAATTACTTCTAAGAAAAAAATGTTCAAATATTTGTAGAGTATTGTGTTCAAATCTTTGTGATTATCTCCATCGAAGAGGTGGAAAATAAAGTACTATGCATGATTGCATTTATTAAGTAAATGTCAAAACATAACCGGTTTAGGATGGCGGATCAAAAAACCTTGAATTCCTTATTTATGTATAGTAGCATTTTTTTTTTTTTTTTTTTTTTTGCTGAAAAGTGAAACATCAATAAAAAATTATTTGGAATTTAGAATTATGGCTGTCACTACACTAACGATTATGATCACCATTAAAATGCCAGATGTTATCAACGAATCTGTAGTCATTTCTCCGTCACAGAAGATTTACTGTGTTTGGTATTCAAACAAACCCCTAAGTAAGGGATGATATGGTACAATGATAATTACCTGATTGATATATAACAAAGATGTCTCTGTGTCTTGTAAAGTGCTAACTCAGCGCTCACTAGGGTTACACACATTGTGATATTCCTACTGTTACCCGAGACAACCGGTAGGAATGCTCTAACCCGAGATGGACGATGAAGATGTTCATTTTGAGGTAAGATTCCTACACAATTTAACGACCTAGACTTCTCGTCTTATTTTCTTACTTCTAACTTGTATTAGAAAGGTCATTAAAATTTGCAGCCCTCTCGTCGAGTTCATTACACATGTACATAAATTATAGATCATCGAATGGCGCAGTGGTGACGCACTCGACTTTCCCCCTTGGCGACTGGGGTTCGATTCGTCGATCGGCAGTGAAAATGTATGTGGTCATCTCTCGTGCGCTTAAAAGTCATAAGTTGTTAGCATGTTTGCAATTTTGTTTCGCAATTGCTGTAAACCTAGTAAATTTATAGTTTCGTAATTTTAAAATGTGCACCGTCAAATTTAAATACTTATAGCGTCATGTTTAATTTAGAAAGATGAGGGGTGCTTATGATTGTACAAAAGACGAGCAAATGAATACCACCTTTTGATACAAATTTAGAGTAAGAGTAGACCAAACATTAAATTAAACTGCATCATACCGCTGTTTCGTTCTCGTAAGTCTCACCAGTGATGCTTAGGGCCTCAATTTTACAGCCTAGGAGGCGACCGATGAGAACCCGATGTGGTCGAAAAAAATATCGGGATCAAGATGGAATTCACTATACGCTATTTTTAGAAAATGTCAATTACATGTGCATATTCTGAGACGTGCTTGTGGAAAATAATTAATGGCGGTTACAGGTAGCTGTTTATTCTATCCTGTATATCAGTAACAGTTTTTTTTTCAAATTCAGGGTGAACGATAGAATTTTCAACCAGCATTGTTGTGATGTTGAACAAAAATTCGTATGGTTTTTTCCCTGAATTAAAATATTCCATCTTACTAAAACAGTCG